GGCAATTCCTCCCTCTTGACCATGCATTCAGACGAGACATCAAGAACTTTACGAAAGGTGTCGTGGATGCACCTCGCACCACCGATAATGACCGGTGCCACGGTTCATGAACAGATAGATGGTCTCATGGTCAATCCAGGAGGTGGTTTTGTGGGATATGGAGAGCAACATATGTGGACTCATAAGTCGGGCTTGACTCGGCTCCCCTATTTTGATGACCTTCTCCTTCCACACAACATTGATGTAATGCACACTGAAAAGAATGTCGCCGAGGCACTTTGGGCAACAATCATGGACATTCCTGACAAGTCAAAGGACAACATTAAGGCTAGAGTGGATCTAGCAATGTTATGCGATAGACCAAACCAACATATGAAGCCTCCTAGTCGCGGTAAGACAAGGAGAAGGCCTAAGGCCGATTTTGTCTTGAGCAAGCCCCAAAGGAGGGAAGTACTAGAAAGGATCCAGACGTTAATGTTCCCTGATGGGTATGCAGCTAATCTGAGGAGGGGAGTGAACTTATCTACTATGCGAGTCTTAGGGATGAAGAGTCATGACTACCACATATGGATTGAGCGGCTTCTTCCGGCGATGGTTCGAGGCTATGTCCCTGAGCATGTCTGGCTAGTGCTGGCAGAGTTGAGCTATTTCTTTCGCCAGCTTTATGCCAAGGAGTTATATCGGACCGTGATTGCTGACTTGGAAAGAATGGCACCTGTTTGCTCTCAGTAAGTTGGAGAAGATCTTTCCACCCGACTTCTTCAATCCGATGCAAAGATTTGATTTTGCACCTCCCGCATGAGGCATGATTGGGGGGGCCATGCAAGGTCGTTGGTGCTATCCAATTGAGAGATGTCTAAAAGTTCTTCAAAAGAAATGTAGAAATAAATGCAAAATCGAGGCTTCCATTGCGAGGCATACATTCGGAGGAGGTGGTGAACTTCACAACAACATACTATGGTGACAACCTCCTAAGCGTGCATAATCCACCCCTCGTTACAATCTTTGGCAAAAATGAATCAAACCTCAGCCTTTTCAAGGGCAACTCGAGCGCGCAAGTGCATCGACCCCAAGACCTTGAATCATGAAGAGTGGCGCCATATCATGCTATACGTGTTGACCAACGTTGATGAAGTGGCGCCAGACATGCGATAAGTTCTCAACGAACTTGTTATATACGCCATCACTATTCTCGCATCCAACCCTTGTTTCTCGTTGGTGCGAAAATTTCTTCATGAATTCTGGCGTCAATCAAGGGATCCTACCCCGTAGCAAGTAGATGCCCTTCTTAGACAGGGTGCGGGAAATGGAATGCCCGATTTCATTTCTTGGTTCAAAAGGAAGGTACCGTCCAATTTAGCTCGTACTTAGTTTGACATTCCAAGTTACTCGTATGTGCGGATAATATAACGATGTATCCTGCTTGAGCTTGCAGGGCCAGAGGGATGCGTCTATGCGTGCTGAGTTGAGACAGGTTGCATATTGGTTTACTCTTTTTAATTGCAGGTGATTGAACAAAGAAGGTGGGCGGTGGGATGAGGAAGCTAGGTAATGACACTTGTGGTTGTTAATGGTACTTGTATTTGTAATTGTGGTTGTAGATGATGGAACACTTGGATTACTTGTGAACTTATTTGTGATATATTGTGAGACATGTGACATTTGTGATATATATGTGGTGTTGGTGATATATATGTGTTGTTGATGATATATATGGCCATGACACTCGGCAAAGTGACGACCTGAGAACATACCTGGGAACATGCTTTGCCGAGTGCACAGGCCATTGCACTCGGCAAACATCACAGATTTGCCGAGTGCCACGGGCCAAGCACTCAGCAAAGGTCGCCTGTTTGCCGAGTGCCTTGACGGTGGCACTCGACACAGTGGCCACCTTTGCCGAGTGTCTGAGTCAACGGCGCTCGGCAAAGAGGCAACCTTTGCCGAGTGCTTGACCTTGACACTCGGCAAAGCCGCCGTCATGGTGGCGCTCGCCGTCACAACAACCTTTCTTTGCCGAGTGTCAGATTAACACTCGGCAAAGGCTTTGCCGAGTGCCCGATAAAGTGCACTCGACAAAGAGATCTTTGCCAATAAACTATTTACCGAGCGCCCTTTGTCGAGTGTAACACTCGGCAAAGGCTTTGCCGAGTGTATATCAGCCTTTGCCGAGTGCCTGAGGCACTCGGCAAAGAAGCTGAATCCGGTAGTGCACTACTCTTATTTGCATAATAACATATGCTTATTCTCTATGCATGGTACTTATCTACTATTACTCCTAGTACCAAGTGAAATGTTATGTCTTCACAATTCTGTTAATGCCATTAGATGTAATACGCATATCAATTATTGGAACTTAATTCGGTTATTCCTTATATTTCAATTGAATCCTAAGTATTAATATATATATATATATTTTTTTGAGAGGAATAGGACATTCCATTGAATCATGGACCGAGAAACATCTTTGCACAGGAGGCTCTCCAGACCCTCATGTGTTCTATCCCAATACGGGCTCAAAGATTGAGAACACTTGCCACAATGAGCCACGGAATTATGTATGGGCGACTTTGTTACAGACACGGGAACAATACTTAACGTGGAAAGTGGTAAAAGAACTAGCTATTATGGTCTTTAACTCATGTATAACTCCAAATATGGGGGCATGTCTGAAACAGTAGCCCTCCAAAGCCATTTTCAACATCATCAAGTCTGTTTCTGCCACATCTCGTGTGATGCCCTGTTCGTTGGCAATTCTGATTAAGAATTTTTAAATATCCTATGGAATTTAGAATTTTTTAAATATCCTAACGTAATAACATGAAAACCTATTATCTTAGATAACCGACCATCCCATCGAGTCAACCACCACCGCCTCTCTTTCCTCTTCATCTGTAACACTATTGTAGCGGAGAAGCGGGAGCACCAAAGAAGCCTAGCCAAAGAGTTTTAACAAGTTAGTGATGGTCCTCAGGAAAGATGACAATGGCATATGGTAATAATTGCATATTTATTTTCTATGTCTAGATGCATGGACTAATGGCACAGATCACCTATCATGGGCAAATTTAGCAAGAATATGAACACGTCAATTCCATTACATGACATAGATTTTTACAAATTTAAGCAGTATTTCCTAAAATGATTTATAAATTCCAATGGGGTTGACAGACCATGACGAGATGTGGGATGCATATTAAGTGCCCTACTGTCTGTTTCCACTACTTCAAAAATGATTTTTGTGCAGACAATTCCTTTTTTTTTTTGCAGAGGTGGGATAAAAGTATTCCCTTCACCGTTGAAAGAAAAGTGCCATTAAATATTGAAAAAAATCAATGAAAATGGGAGTACCCACGTCAAACTGAGAACTTAAACCCAGGTGAACACATGTTCCACAACAAGGAACTTAACCAGTTAAATGCTTACTTCTCAATATTTTCTCTTGAAAGTGTATCATTTTCTTTACTAAAAGGAATTTGTAAGTACAAAATGGTTCTGCCACACAAGAAAAACTTTCTAAGGGGAAAATTTTCTCGATTCTGGAAAAATATCCAAGATTGAAAAGAAGTTTTTGTTAAGGTAGAGAAGAAAATTTTGGCATAAATTGATTATACAGGCCATTGAACATAGTAATATACACAGGTGAACAATAAAGTACGTAAGGTAGAAGAATAGTTTGTATACGGGGAACAACTAAAATATAAAAATTCAGATAACATTTTTGAAAAGTCAAGAAATAAATGAATTTATTATAACTACACAAAGGGTATATTTTAAATTAAAGACATTTTGGCTTTTTAGATAAATTGCTTTTACTATGTATCTAGACATAGGGTATATTTAAGTACATAATAAAATCTAAATGCCAAAACGTCTTATAATTTGGAACGGAGGGAGTATATTTTACAAAATAGATAAATAAAACATATAACACATGACAAATTGAGTGGGAATTAAGGGGGTTGAGTGGAATAACTTAGTAGCAAGAGTCATGAATATTAACTTACAAGTTGGATGAGATAGATTCTTTTGGCTCCTTAGTGTAATGGTAGGTTCATATCCATGTATAAATACCATATGTCAATACGGGGCTTCAAAACTAAATTTTTTCAGTTGTTTATTAAGAGAAGGATAGTTTTAACTAAAGATAATTTATCAAAAAGAAATTTGAGTGGCGACAAATCTTGGAGTGTTTGTATGCTAAGTTCTTGTGGTGGGCGATACATCTTGTTTTGGGTCTCAAAACCACTTTGAATGTAATGGATATCTTTCATGATTGGCACAAACAAAGGGGTAGATCAAATAAAACATTGCTATCGAGTATCGACAGGTGGAGCAGCCATTTGTTGGACCATATGGCTAGTAAAAATTGACATGGTTTTTGAGAAATACCAACCCTAATCTCTTTTGTAGGGTTTATTCAAAGGAATGCACTAACTACGACATTGATCATGGTTGCAAAGGTGTGATGAAATCAAGGATCACTTCTCCCAAGTTTGTCGGGCGCTACAAACCGCGACCATGCAGTTCTTTGCTTCTTTTAGATGGTGAGATGATGCTAGGATTGGTTTTTGAGTCGGTTTGTTTTTGTGTGTTTTGAACTTACGTGAAAATTAATCCGATTCACTTGGCTTCAAGAGATGAAGCCGGATACTTTCCATTATTTAAAAAGAACACGGGAGAAATTGCAAAGGTGAAGAAAACTCAAATAAACTACTGGGCTTGGGCCCTATAGACCGAACTAGCAACTTGGGCCAAAATTAATAGACAACTACTACTCAATTTCCGGTACTCCTCTCCGGGCTGGCAGGGTCACATATAAACCAAACCTTGCCGTCTTTCGTCCACCGCCTCTGTCCACGTCTCACGGTGGCCGCCGAGCGCCGCCGATCGATTTGCATACTCGGCCATCTCGAGTCGTCAAAGCTAGCCTATAGCTTTCATCTTCATCTCCCTCAATTTCCCATTCTGTCCAGCAACCCGCAACTCATTACATACACATGGAGAGATCTGTTTTTGGCGGCGGCGGCGTGGCGCAGAGCGACAGCGTCAGCGCGTCCGCCATCGTCGCCCAGACCGTGAAGGGGTCGCACGTCCTCAAGATTGATGGGTACTCCCGGGTCAAGGCATCGGCCGGCAGCGGCAAATTCATCAGCTCTGGTGAGTTCGTCGTCGGCGGGATTACTTGGGACATCAGGTACTACCCTAATGGATGCACCCCAAAGACCTCTGGATGGATAGGCATCGTCCTGCACCTCAAGCACAACCATGCCACGGGCGTCGAGGCAAGCTACGCGTTCAGCTTGCTCGACGGCGCCGGCGAGCCAGTCCCGTCGTATTCCTCTGGCAGGGGCACGCGCACGCACTTTCAAGTCGCGCAGACACCGGATTTGGGTGCCGAAGGTTCATCATGCGGAAGGCCCTGAGAGGATCAGCCTATCTCAAGGACGACTGTTTCAGCGTCAGATGCGACGTCACCGTCTCCACGACAGCAGTCCGCATCCCGCGGTCCGTTGCCGTGCCGCCACCAGACATGCACCAGCACATTGGCCGCCTCCTCGAGTCCCAGGTGGGAACGGACGTCACGTTCCAGGTCGGCGAGGAGACCTTCGCCGCGCACCGGCTCGTGCTCGCCGCTCGGTCGCCGGTGTTCATGGCGCAGCTGTTTGGCCCAATGAAAGAAAGGAGCACGGGCCACGTACGGATTGATGACATGGACCCAAGAGTGTTCAGGACCATGCTGCACTTCATCTACACAGACTCGCTGCCTGACATGGACAGCGGCGACGACGCGCGGGCCATGGCTCAGCATTTGCTTGTTGCAGCGGATAGATACGACATGGAGAGGCTGAAGCTCACCTGCGAGGACAGGCTTTGCGACTACATTAACACTGGCACGGCTGCAACTACTTTGGTGCTTGCGGAGCTGCATGGCTCCAGAGGGCTCAAGGAGGCGTGCTTCGAGTTTCTCAAGTCTCCGGGCAATCTAAAGGCGACCATGGATTGTGATGAGTTTCAGCATCTGACGAACAGTTGCCCCTCCCTTCTCAGCGAGCTGCTCGCCAACGTTGCACCCTGACGCTCCAATCTGAGACAGAAAAAATATTAAGCTATCACTAATCTCTATGCATGTATCCTTTTTCTTAGATATGGAAACAAAGCTTAGAGAGAATGAGATTAATTATTACAACCTTGCAAAATACTTCTACTAGTACAGAAAATATTTTTACTGGCGGTGAAATTTAGGAACTATCAGTGTGAGTCAAAATAAGTGAACTCCACTAGCATTAATTAATAACTGAGTCACACCATTATTCGCACGTGTGATGGCCAGAAATCAAACCAGCGACCTCAGGCCTCGCGTGTGCACCTCATAATCTCTTGTGACTAGATAGTATAAACAGTTTCTTCATATTCCCTGTAACACCATAAATTTTCAACTAGAAAGTTTTAGATTTCATTGAGTGTTGGTGTCGGGGGGGGGGTGGGGTGGGGGGGGGGGCACCTTCGATGCGCCACCCCGTCCTAGTCTCGTCTCATAGCTGAACCCTTGACATCTCTTTTCCTCACACCCAAGGGTGCAGCCAGCGTGCCTATGTCCGCCGCAGCTCAAGGGCTATCCGTGGTGGGACCCTCGTCACCTTCAACAGTGGCACCCCAGCGAAGGGCGCCTCATCTTTTTCACCCCTGAACGGTGTCCCCAACAATAGTCAGCAGAGGTAACATTGATCCTGTGTCTTTGCAGATCGAGCGGCGTCACTGTGAGGAGGATGGACAATCGTGGTCCCAAGAGACAGAGCCCCCTACGGCTTCAGTAGAGTAGCTGGATTGCGCGCGCGGAATGTCCAAAGTGCCCCAATACTCCCCACCCGTCCCTAGCTGGTAACACAGTAACGAATGATGAATTAATAGCCATTTACTCCTGAATTTATTGAAAGTTGTCCCATCTTGTCCAACCTTTGCTTTTCCTTTCCTGTGCGACACTGTAACAAGTTTGTAGTAACTGTGGCGAGCATCGTGGTTGTTCGTCGGAAGTCGATGTTTGGGTCTCCGTTGGCTCGGACACTCAAAACATGAAAAGGTCAAAATCCTAGTTCGGGATTTTTAGCCCTACGTCCAGTAGTATAGTGATATTTGCATTAAGGAATGCCCAATCGGGGGTTACAACGGTGGAAATCGAGAGAGCTTGGTAGGGGATCGCTCGGTGCTGTCCTAGTGTTCGTCAGTTTTCTTCCTCAGTGAGTTAGGCATCGGTCTTTTCTAGCTGAGGTTCTATATTTCTCTTGGAAATCGCCCCCCTCCTACACAAGTCGTCCCTCCCCTTATATTCTATAGAGGGCCGGTGTATAGGTCGGTTTGGGTTATAGTCTATGGTCTATGCACCAGGATGCATGAGTCCTCTCCCGCGGCCTTCAAGGAACTCGCCTTGTCGTGTAGGGAGGACTCGACAGAGCCACAACCGTCTCCGGATGTCGCTGCCATTGTTCTGGCACTTACCCGTCATAGGCTGTTTGTGGCAGAGCGGCCTCCCCTGGTGAACCATCTCGAGGCTTCCTCTGTTGCCAAGGAGCCCCCACTTGGAGGGGCTGACGAGTGGGCCCTAGAGCCTTTGCCCTAGAGTAGTTGAAGTCCCGTGTCATGTTGTGTCACGCCGGTTCCGTGACCCTGTTGAAGGAGTGGCCGACAGGGGCTTGCACCGTGATGGCGAGGGGTTGAGCCCGATCATTGATGACTGGGTTAGTCAATTGGTGTGCACACAGTCCTGGTGGTCTTGGGTCAGACGTCCTTCTAGCAGTCCCCGAGCCTTTATGTCTGCGCGCGGCTTCTAAGCTGAGCGATGCTGGGATTGAGCATCATATGAGGAGGCCTGAGCGAGGGTCTAGCTGGCCCGTCGGGGAGTCGCCAACTCTAGGCCCGCGTGGGGCACCCTACTTATCTTGGCCTCGTGTGGGTCAAGCGGCACAGCGTCGGGGCACTGGCTTAGCGCCAATCCAGCGCTCGGTGTCCCATGCCCGTGTGAGGGCTTGATGACAGGCCACCTTGTCCCGGGCTGCACTTTACGATGGCCGGGTACGTTCTGTGCCCTAGGCTCGGGTTGCACTCGTTGGGTGCACCACTCAGTGCCGTCTGCTCCTATCTTTGTTGCTCTCAGGGAGCGATCACGGGGCGCGCATTGGTCGGGCTCCGGAATTACCAGCGAAGAGGCTGATGTAGCTCGTGAGGCCGCCGTGGGGCCTGCTTATCAGCAGGCGGGGCGGTTTCTCCATGTGCCCTTCCGGCTGACCCGTGGTGTAGTCTTTTTACAATCATTGGTTGACGTGCCAGCAGGTGAAGTTAACAGGCGCGATGCCCGGTGCTCCATGACCCGCCACACCACACGGTGACGATCCGAAGGTCGAGGGGCTGTGGTGATTTGGATGCGCGGATCTGGGCCATCAGTCCTGCGTGGAGAGGGAAGGCGCGGCATATTGTAATATACACATGTGAATAATAAAGTATGTAAGGTAGCTAGAGGAACCGTTGTTATAAGTGCACCAATTAATTAAAAATATAGAAATTCACATAATATTTTCTAGCGATCATCCCGAGTTTGATTTCTATATGTATTGGGTTCCGTTACAACACATTGTCACATTTGCTAGTAGGTATCTAATGTAAAAAAAAAAGGCTGTCAGGGTGGTGAGCGGAAGGGTTTCCTTGGCGTAGCGCGGAGCCGATGATTTCCGGACTAGACATATAACCCAATCAAATACCTTCCCGTGGCCGTCTTGAGTTGTAATATAAAAGCCTATCGATTGATCTCATATTCTCATCTCCGTCGATTTTCCATTGTGGCCAGGCCAGCAACCCTACAACTCCTTCCGTACACATATGCCGGGCTCTGTTCTTGGGGGCGGCATGGCGCACAGCGTCAGCGCGTCCGGCATCGTCGTCCAGGTCGTCAAGGGGTCGCACGTGCACAAGATCGATGGGTACTCCCGGATCAAGGGACTCGGCAACGACAGATTCATCACATCCGACCCATTGGACGTCGACGGGCATCCTAGGGTCATCAGGTACTTCCCTGACGGAGACTGCACGAAACCCTCCGGCTGGATAGGCTTCTTCCTGTACCTCAACGACAATCCTGGCACGGACGTCGAGGCAACCTGGGAGTTCAGTTTGCTCGATCGCGTCGGAGTCCCGTCGTATGGTTCTCGCCACGACACGGTTCGCACTTTCAACCAAGAAGACGGATGGGGATGTGCAAAATTCATCAAGAGGAAGACCCGGGAGGAATCAGACTATCTCAAGGATGATTGCTTCAGAGTCAGATGCGACGTCAACGTCTGCACGGCGGTCCGCACCGGCAGCATCCCGCGGGTTGTCAGTTGTCACCGTGCCACCATCAGGCATGCACCAGCATATGGGCCGCCTCCTCGAGTCCCACGTGGGAACGGACGTCACGTTCCAGGTCGGCGAGGAGACCTTCGCCGCGCACCGGCTCGTGCTCGCCGCTCGGTCGCCGGTGTTCATGGCGCAGCTGTTTGGCCCAATGAAAGAAAGGAGCACGGGCCACGTACGGATTGATGACATGGACCCAAGAGTGTTCAGGACCATGCTGCACTTCATCTACACAGACTCGCTGCCTGACATGGACAGCGGCGACGACGCGCGGGCCATGGCTCAGCATTTGCTTGTTGCAGCGGATAGATACGACATGGAGAGGCTGAAGCTCACCTGCGAGGACAGGCTTTGCGACTACATTAACACTGGCACGGCTGCAACTACTTTGGTGCTTGCGGAGCTGCATGGCTCCAGAGGGCTCAAGGAGGCGTGCTTCGAGTTTCTCAAGTCTCCGGGCAATCTAAAGGCGACCATGGATTGTGATGAGTTTCAGCATCTGACGAACAGTTGCCCCTCCCTTCTCAGCGAGCTGCTCGCCAACGTTGCACCCTGACGCTCCAATCTGAGACAGAAAAAATATTAAGCTATCACTAATCTCTATGCATGTATCCTTTTTCTTAGATATGGAAACAAAGCTTAGAGAGAATGAGATTAATTATTACAACCTTGCAAAATACTTCTACTAGTACAGAAAATATTTTTACTGGCGGTGAAATTTAGGAACTATCAGTGTGAGTCAAAATAAGTGAACTCCACTAGCATTAATTAATAACTGAGTCACACCATTATTCGCACGTGTGATGGCCAGAAATCAAACCAGCGACCTCAGGCCTCGCGTGTGCACCTCATAATCTCTTGTGACTAGATAGTATAAACAGTTTCTTCATATTCCCTGTAACACCATAAATTTTCAACTAGAAAGTTTTAGATTTCATTGAGTGTTGGTGTCGGGGGGGTGGGGTGGGGGGGGGGGCACCTTCGATGCGCCACCCCGTCCTAGTCTCGTCTCATAGCTGAACCCTTGACATCTCTTTTCCTCACACCCAAGGGTGCAGCCAGCGTGCCTATGTCCGCCGCAGCTCAAGGGCTATCCGTGGTGGGACCCTCGTCACCTTCAACAGTGGCACCCCAGCGAAGGGCGCCTCATCTTTTTCACCCCTGAACGGTGTCCCCAACAATAGTCAGCAGAGGTAACATTGATCCTGTGTCTTTGCAGATCGAGCGGCGTCACTGTGAGGAGGATGGACAATCGTGGTCCCAAGAGACAGAGCCCCCTACGGCTTCAGTAGAGTAGCTGGATTGCGCGCGCGGAATGTCCAAAGTGCCCCAATACTCCCCACCCGTCCCTAGCTGGTAACACAGTAACGAATGATGAATTAATAGCCATTTACTCCTGAATTTATTGAAAGTTGTCCCATCTTGTCCAACCTTTGCTTTTCCTTTCCTGTGCGACACTGTAACAAGTTTGTAGTAACTGTGGCGAGCATCGTGGTTGTTCGTCGGAAGTCGATGTTTGGGTCTCCGTTGGCTCGGACACTCAAAACATGAAAAGGTCAAAATCCTAGTTCGGGATTTTTAGCCCTACGTCCAGTAGTATAGTGATATTTGCATTAAGGAATGCCCAATCGGGGGTTACAACGGTGGAAATCGAGAGAGCTTGGTAGGGGATCGCCGGTGCTGTCCTAGTGTTCG